CACACACACACCACACCACACACCACACACACCGCACACACACCACACACACACCACACCACACACACTCCTCACAGACTGGACATCTTCTATGTAAATTATCTCAATTTCCAAAGACAATAAAACACCACGAGGGCCCGCCCCTTCCACACGCCCACTGTCCCTCAAGGGAGCGGCTAACTCCTGGCACCATGGACGGGGCTTCTCTTTTGAAGGGGTGTCTGGTTGTGTCCTTTGATCACACAATTAGGGCAGGATCCATAGCTCCCAGCTGGCCCCTGGCTTTGGGAAAGGATTTAATCATCCAATTGAGACCCTTAAAAATATTCATTGTTTGGTCCCCAAAAGCTCTATTCTCCAAAGAACTTGAGGAAGTCATCTGAAACCAGGAATGTTCGTCACTGTGACGTTTACGTCATTGAGAAAGATGACAGTGTGGCAGCCAGAGGGTGTCAAATACCATCAAGGACATCCCCCATTTTTTTTTTTTTTGTACTGGGGATTGATTGAACCAGGGGCGTTTAACCACTGAGCCACGTCCCAGCCCTGTTTTGTGTTTTATTTAGAGACAGGGTCTCACGGAGTTGCTCAGCACCTCACCATTGCTGAGGCTGGCTTTGACCTCATGATCGCGATGCTCCTGCCTCAGCCTCTCCAGCTGCTGGGATGACAGGTGTGCGCCACCACACCCAGCAGGTGTTCTTTTTGACGTGTGTTTTTCAATTTTATTAATTGCTTCATTCTGATTATACATAACATGGGATTTAAAGCAGCTTTATTAGACTTACTTTATCTGCCATATTCACAATGTACAATTCAGTGATTTTTTTTYCCCCCTTTATTGCGATGGAGGTGGGGTGGAGGTGAACCCTGGGCCCTGCACTTGCTCTACCACTGAGCCACGTCCCCGGGGAATTTAGATGATCTGTAATAAATCTACGGTTCTGCAGCTCTCACCACCACCTAGCTCTAGAACATTCTCAGCACGCCATAAACAACGCTCATGCCCACTTACAGTCACTAGCTGTTTACASGGAGCCCCGGCGACCCTCCATCTCCTTGTGTCCTGTATTTGCCTCAGTGGAAGGACACAGCACTGGCTCCCCCTCATCTGGCTTTGCAGTTCCCAACTCCCGCGCCTTACCCTGCCTTACCCTGCCCTCGGGGCTCCCTTCCTCTCTGCTGGGAGGCGGCTCCATTCAGGCGACGACCCCCAGTTGCTGGGCACTTATTTGGGCTGTTTTCACTTTGGGGTGTCTTAAATCACGTCGCGACCAACAGTTCCACACGTGTGTTTTCATTTCTCTTGGAGATTCCTAGGAGTGGAATTCCATGAATTCCATGGCGAATTTGTGATCGATTTTTTCCAAGTTGTCCTCGAGCTCTTTTCCAAAGTGGTATCTGGTTTCCTACTGACCTCCCCGTGTGTGTGGGGGGGAAGCTTTGTGGTGTCACAGTGAGGGGTGCTCACCTTAGCTGGTACAGTGAAGAAGGCAGATGCCCTGGTTGGGTAGGTTTAAGTGTGTCCCCCACGGGTTCCTGTGTTTGGGTCCTGACTGTATTGAGAGAGGGGACCTTTAAGAGGCGGAGCTTGGAGGGAGGTGGTTGGGTCATGGGAGGCGTGCCCTTGGAAAGGATCAGGTAGTTCTCCTAGGACCTGGGTAGTTCTTGCCAGAGGGTTGATTGCAAGCCTGGCCTCTCCCCTTTCTCTGGCTCCCCTCCCACATGTGATACCATTCACCAGGTGGTCGACAGCAGAGTCAAGCTAGTGCCAGCCTCATGCCCTGGAGCATCCCAAACTTTGACTAAATAAGCCTCTTTCCTTCCTACGTTAACCAGCCTCAGATTTTTTAAATTATAGTAATGAAAAATGGACTGCAATATCAGAGTATAACATTATGTACATGAAAACTGTCCAAAATGGCAGGACACAGTGGCTCACGCCTGTCATCCCAGCGGCTTGGGAGGCTGAGGCAGGAGGATCTCAAGTTTAAAGCCAGCCTCAGCAACTTACAGAGGCCCTAAGCAACGGAGCAGGACCCTTTCTCAAAATTTTTGTTTGTTTGTTTGTTTTAAAGGGGGCTGGGGGTGTGGCTCAGTGGAAAAGCCCCCCTAGTTTCAGTCCCTGGTACCAAAAAACAAAAAACCGTCCACAATGGGCAAATAACCAAGCCCTCCACAGAGAAGATCAGCCGGAAGAAGTGCCCCACGGTCTTCGTGGCGGTGCCTTGAGTCCCCTTGGACCCCTCGCTGCTCCTCCTGGAAGATGCCCTGCCGTCCCCAGCGGTCACAGCCACACTGACCCACCTCTCCCAGGCAGCGCTGACTGACAGCTCAGGGGCTGCAGCAGGTGGGGGCGGAGCCCGGGGCCCCGCCCAGCTGCCCCGCGAGCRCCGCGTCCTCTCGCGAGAGCTCCCAGCGGCTCTCTCTGGCCCTGAGGTCAGCGGTGCCCTTTGGTAGCTCGACGTCGCTCACGGGAGCAGTTGACACCCGTGAAGTTGGCACCTCTCACAAAACGGGGCTTTGACCCCGAGGAGCGGCTGCCCACGAGCCGCCAGCCCCCGTCCCTGGCAGAGTCCAGCCCGCCTCCGCCTTGGCCTCGCGGGGACATCTCAGCGGTGACCAGGGCCATGCCCGAGGGCGAGACCCGGACACGTCGGAGCGCAGACAGCTCAGGGGACACAGCCGAGCCCCCAGTGGGAAGATGCAGGATGAGGCCGCAGGGTGGGAGGAGGAGGCAAAAGGCGTGTCCCCCCCCCCGTCCCTCCGGGGACACTGGAGAAGCCCCCAGTGACTCACAGGCCACCGCCAGCCGGAGCCAGGTTATGAATAGGCCTGACGTGTGGGTGACGTGGCTGTGCTGGCTCCGTCCCCTCCCCGGCTGCCAGGCCCACAGGCCGCCAAGAGTCACCCCCAGGGGAGGCTCCAGGGGGAGTCCTGCCCTGGTGGAGGCTGCGGCCGCCCCTGCACGGGTCACTAAGCYGGTTCCCATAGGGCACCAGGCTCCCTGGGCCGCCCCCGGCTCCACGCCAGCCCCACTGACCCGGGGCCCGGAGCCAGCGCGCACAGGCTTCGCCCAGCTGTAATTTAAGCAAGTGGCCTTATCACCACGGGCCCTTCCAGCCTGCAGCCCCCGCCGGCCTCACCAGCTGCCGTYTCAAGGCCAGGAGGAGGCCGGGGACGTGGAATTCTCACTGAAGGTCTCAGCCTCCCGTGGGGGTGAGGGAGGCTGGCACTGCCCCGAGGCTAGAGATGGCTGGAGACCATTCTCCATGTGTCCATGCCGATCTGAACCTCTGGGCGGCCCTCCAGGCAGACCTGGTGCCCCCAACTCCAGCCCGACAAGGCCACTGTCTGCACCTGTCCCATAAATAAGTACCCAAGTCTTTGTGGTGACCCATAGGGCCCCTTAAGACCACCTGTTCTGCCTGGCAGGGTGGCAAACACCTGTCATCCCAGCTGCTCAGGAGGCTGAGGTAGGAGGATGGTGAGTTCAAAGCCAGCCTCAACAAAAGTGAGGAGATAAGCAACTCAGTGAGACCCTGACTCTAATAAAATACAAAATAGGGCTGGGGGTGTGGCTCAGTGGTGGAGTACCCCTGAGCTCAATCCCCAGTACAAC